CCCCAAAACCCCAAAACCCCAAAACCCCAGGACTTCAGCTAAATATTGAAAAATATTCAAAATTGGTCTGAGTTTAAACAATAGCCAAATATACAAGAAAATTATTAGCACCGAGAGAAATAGAGAGTGCCACAATATCGACTAATCACCAATTCAATACGGAAGAAAATCTTCCCACTGCAAAGAGAAGGTGGTATTGAAGACATTTCTGAAGAAGAGGGAAGCGAGCATATTTGCAGGATCTCAACATTTTGAAGAAAGATTGAACTCTTATAATTATCAATTTAGAGAACAGAGCTTGCTAGTAATTGACATCTACGTTGTAGAGAGGGTAGGCTAATTGAAGTATTTAGGTAAAATTAGTCAGCTCGATCATAATGAAACGAAATCTTTTTGTCTACTACTGGAGGGTCATAATAAGCTGGTCCTGGATTGATTTCAATGTTATCCATCCCAAACGTATAATTTCTTTCAGATTGCCCTATCATTCAGAGTTTATGAGAATTCTTTTTGATTGATTGGATATAGTCGTTTTCATAAGCTCCAGGCCCGGGTGTTTTGAATTTAACAGATTTGGATTCTATTGGCGCTCCAAAACGATCACGACTAAGATCCCCCATCCCGTTTTCATTTGGTAACAAACTCTTGTTTTGTACCTTTTTCGGATCTAACAAATCTTTGAGTTCTTTTGAGTGTGGTTTTATTTTATTTTCTTGATCTTTTGAGGAGGCTATAGAATAATTATATTATTACTAAAAGAGAGTATATTAAAATATTCAAATAAATTAAAAAGAATAGAGTATCTAAATGTCCAGTTATATATTCATAAGCTTAGCCATATCCCAGACAATATATAGCTGAGTTTTATCGGCTAAATCATAAAACAATTTATCTATTTTTTTGGAAAAATTACCAAAAAGAAAACTAGCTATAATCGATAGTTAATTCTATTGAATACTTTACCTTCAGCATTAGGGCCACTACTGCCGTCTCCAAACATGCTTAGATGCACAAGTTTTCTAGATGTTGGTTGTCACAACCCTGGTGAATTGTTCAAGCCAATAAATTTATTTATTAAATGCTCCATGTGAGTCGTACTGAATAGGAACGTCAGTATTCTCTGTCTTTGGGAATAATTCCTTTCTTTTTGATTTCATATCAAACTTAACATCTCCTCTTACATTACTCTGGTCGGTATCGGGATTATAGAATCCGGCTTCAGGAAACCCAGGTTTGTAGTAAACATTTACTGTGTAAGAATTGACATAATTCAAAGGATTACTCAGAGAGAACGGTAGTTTTAGAGCCGGCCTTTTGTCTTTCATCTTATAAGAAATTATTCTTTTCTTATTCGAGTTCTTTTCTAAGTCGACACTGTTATATTGGCCAGGTCCAGGAGAATTTTCACTCTCAAAAGCAATTCTCTGGCTAAGTCCGAAAGTTCCTTTCTGGATTGGCTCAAGTTTTGTTTGTGGTTGTAAAATTGCTGAATTATTCATAATACTGGAGATAGTACTTCTGTTCTTTTGATTCTTTTTAAAAATCAGAGTTTTTATCATGAATATCTTTCAACTCTTGAGCTTTGTCAGTCAGCTTTTTAATTAGATTATATGATCCAGGTCCAGGAGTTGTATCATAGAATCTTTCAAATTCAAATTTCTTATCAAAACGGTGAGAAGAAGTTGAAAATCCTTTGCGCTTCTCTCTGAGCAAGCTAGATGGTCTTGCTCTTTCAGCTAATTTAATAATGTCTTCTTTGCTAAATGAATTGTCTAAATTAGTTTGAAGACTAGACCCTCTTTTATGAATGCGGTATCTCATGCTTCCATTTAAAAATTTATTTACTTGTTGAGCATGAGGGGACTTATTTTAAAATTTTCTGAGTTCGACCAGGAATAGAAGGACCTGATAAATGACGAGTAGTCATTTTGCTAGTTTTTATCAAAGTTTCATTAAATCTCTTTCTGTTCATTTTGTTTTTTGCTCTTGGATTAAAAGAAGATTCATTATTTGATTTTAATCTCTTTGAATTTACTGTTATTCTTAACTGAGTAAAGCTCTTTCTCATAATTCTAAATTTTAATATAGCTATCTCAAAAATCAGAAATACCTTTGGATGACCTGTCCCTGCCATTATAGATAAAGTGGCATCAACTCTCTTGTAGGTTATTTTGTTTTCGATATTTTGGTTCTTTATGGTATCTTGTTTAGATTGGTCATCAAAATTTGTTTCACTACTGAGGGGTGAAGGAGCACGAGGAACTTTGGCAAATTCTATTTCTGAATCCTATTCATTATTATTGGTAATTGTAGAAAACAGATAATTTTAAGTTGCCCTTACTTTGTTAGTCTGAGAATTTGAGTGCATTTTTATTTCAATAAAATTATTATTGTAAGGGGTTTTGGGGTTTTGGGGTTTTGGGGTTTTGGGG